TTATTTTATCCCTGATTAAGCAAGTAACCTTTGAATAATTAACCCTTGACCAAACAAGTAACCCCTACAAGTAACCCATGACCAAACGTGTAAACCCTGAATAAGTAATGCCTACAAATAACCCCCTGACAAAACGAATAACCCTACAAGTAGCACATGCCACAAGTGTTGTAAAAAAGTGTTTCAAAGGCTACAAATAATAAAAGGAATAATGTAACTGTTTGATAAAAAAGAATATGGTGTGGCGTGACTTTGTCACTGACTTTAAAAAACGAATTCCGGCACAACCGAGATGTACATTGTATCGCCAATACGTTCCCTAAGGTTACACACCACTCTCACTCAAAGGTACTTTTGATTGGATGAGATATGGAGCCATATAAACTTATGCCCATAAGAAAAGGAAAAATGTTTAGCAACTTTGTATGTATAAAATTAATATTTTATGAAAAGATTCCAAGCCATATATAGACAATGCAAGGATTATGAAGAGTTAAATGTAACCATCAAATGAGTGATTAAATCAGAATAATAAAGAACAATAAACAACCACTTGAATGAGGGGGTTACATAAGAATAAAAAAGACCATTAAGGAATCCAAGAGAAAGAGTAAAAAGCCAAAGAATGATTCTAGACATGGAAAAAGTTTGCTCCATGGCCCACTTGTGAGAAAACATAGTAGCCACAACCTACTTATGGATTAAACTCTAGAAAAACCATAAACCAATCAAGAAATATGACTTTTACTCTCTTCACTCCAACAACAAGGTGCCATCCACATATAAAAAAAAATTGTAGATTGATTGTTATTATCTTACTTCCTCTATTCTTTTTTACTTGACCTGTTTCTTTTATCACGCTTGCCAATGTAAAACTTTAACGATCAATAACTTTTATTCTCTATAAGTAAAATTTTGAAAATTTACAAATTATGATAGTACTTATTGAGACAAATTCAAAAAGATCTTACATGAAAATATTTTTCATTGCATATTATTTACAAAAGATGGTCAAAAGAAGTGTGATAAATAGTGTAAAAGTCAAAGCGGGTCAAGTAAAAAAGAACGGCGGAAGTAGTAACTATGCAAACAGAAATGCCTATATTAGGCTTGTACGTTGTATATATGAAACCACTGGGCTTCAAACACGGATTAGTTTTTGGGCCTATATAATGGTCTCCCATATATTGGTACCATCTTTTTTGAAAGTAAAGTTGACTATATTTTGGGTGGGTTTGTGCCAACTATTTTTTTTAGGGCACTAAGTATAATTTGTCAAAAGTCAAACTTAAGTAGGTAAATAGTGTATAAGGTCATGGTTAATTCACCTTATTTTTACTTATTGTACATTAGCGAAAGTAAGTTTAGATCAAATATGAAAAAAATAGTTTTGACACACTTAATCATTTTATATCCGTTTTTTTTAATCGCAAAATATCATTAAATTGTAATGAAAAAAATAATAAATATATATTATTATGAATATAACAAGACCACACTTGATACATTTTTTTCTGTATAGATTATCATGCAAATAGGTCAAAATTTAATCTGATCAGATAAGCAATAATAAGGTGAACTAAACAAGCTCTAAATTAAACAATTGGAAGTAATAAGAAACAATTGGTTTATTGAAAACCAATTGGTATGTTGAATCCTCAAACCTCGAACTAATCATACATGGTTAAGGCATAAAGCCCGACTAGACCTTACCCATAATCAACTCTATTTATATCTAACATGACTTGACCTAACATTACAAGATTCACAACATTAGTACATTACTCTATTATGAACATTACTCCGTATCCTTGGATACAAATTAATACCTACTCCGTATGAATTAATTTTATTAAACTTAATTTTATTTATTTATTTATTTATTTATTTATTGAACTGAAATAATTTTGTTACTAAATTCAAATAAATTTTACTAATTTTTTTAAGGTTAAGAAAATAAGGCTGAAGGCATCAATTTTGTTGTATGACTAAACCTTGTCAACTATCACCTAAAATAGAACCATCACACAATCTAGATTTGCACCTTTATCAAAACCCAAAATGGCAAATCCACTGACTTTATCGATCATAACCAAGTGATTTTGACAAAATTTTCAAACTCTATTGAACCAGTGATACTGTGATATGGGTGATGGTGATGGTCAAAACCCATGTAGACCTTGCCTATGATTAACTTTAAAACCCATGTAAACCTTGCCTATGATTAGCTCTACCTAAATCTAATATGACTTCACCTGGCATCACAACATTACTTAATTTGGAATACTACTTTTGAATCCCTTAAATCTATTTAACACCTTTTGCAAGTAAGAAGAAGTAACAACATCAACATATATAGCAACAATATAGTAAAAGGGATTAATAGCCAAAAAGGGGCAATGCAATACAATAAACAAAAGCCATGGTATCTAGCTAGCCAACCAACCAAATAAGTGATGATTGGTGATCAAAAAGTGATGTCAAGGTATCTAAAATACTTTATGCTACAATACAAGTATTAGCATATAACAAGCTCTAAATTTAAAGGGAGGATGCTTTGCTTTGCTTTGCATTAAGTCAGTTCAAAATACTTGCCTTACGTGCATCCCATAACCTAACTAAATTAGCTTCTTCAAATAAAACCATAATTTATAATATAAATTAATTTATTTTATTAATTTGATAAATAATTATTTTAAATTTTATTTGTTTACTCTTGAGAATCTCTAGCCACTTACTCCACGCTATCTCCTCAATTAGAGGCTTAGAGAAAATCCTTCGCACTTCGATCACCGGCCTAGTGGATTTTGCTTGTTTTTTTTATTGGGTTTGATTTATTTTTTAATTATCAAGTGATCATTATATGATATGTATACGAAACACGTTCTATAACCTAGTTATTAGTTAGGTACACATAATTAAATTGCAAGTCTAGTTAGTTTAATTTTTAATTAAACGGATTCTTTGTTTGTAGCAAATAGTAAACTACGTATATTTTGGATTATTCCATTTTTTATTCCCTTCTTTTTCCATTTTTTTTTGGTGGTGCAAATAGAGTAACAAAAAGGACATAATGTAAACATATGAGATTTGATCTCAAGTTGTCACATTATTACATACCACCTCTTGACTTTAAAAAAGAATTAAATAAGTGAATTGTAGCTACAACATGGAAATTAAGATCCAAAGTGATATCGTGAGTATGTGAAGATTTTGTAGGAGTAAAGATAGAGACAAATTTTAGGGAAAATACAAGTTAATATGTTAGATAAACGAATATTTGCTAATCTGATGTTATTTTTGTAAATATATTGAAAAAGCAGGGTCATTTATTCAGTATTTTTGATGAGCTGTCTAATTACTGTTTGCCTTTTGCTTTTACTGTTTGGTGAGGAAAAACACATGTCCCCTCAACTAGTACAAGAAAAAACGCATATACCCCTCCATTAGTACTTGAAAAGACAATTATACCCCCAGATAAACAAATTTTAATTTTGAAATTTTAATTTTGTTTATCTGGGGAATTAACTGGATATAGCCCCAAATTTTACTGAATTTTGGAGATCTGACCTGAAAGCTTGGTTCATTAAACTCGATTGTGTATTTATTATTCAGATTAAATTGTCAGTGCTTTTTTAATCGGATGACACAAAATTGGATACTTTTTCATAGCTTAGTTTTGTGAGTTTAGTTGTCAAATTTCGTAGCTCAATAATCTAGCTATTACCAACCCCCCATATTAGTTTATTTCTTCCTTTAAATTAGAAATGGATTTAAGATGTCAAAATGATCGATTTATTCAATCTAAACAATTTAATTCATTTTCTTACAAATGTTATAATCATATTTACTTTAATTTTTATTTTTTTTTGGTGTTCCATCCGATTCACCCTTTGGGTTAATCCGAATTTGGGAATGAGTTATGAGTTGTTAGGTTTCAGTCCCCTCCAAATTGTTGTTGTGGGGTTGAACACGTGGTATCCCTTCCAAATGCAGTCTCAATCACCACTGCACTAACAATCAATTGGTATTATAATCATATTTATTCCCTCCGTTTTTAAATACCTTCTTTCAATTCATAACTCTATGCACAGAGTTTTAGAAAAACTTGGAGAAAGGAATAAAATATGGAGGTTGTGGAGTAGGTGAAAAAATAAAAAAAATTGTAAAAAGTAAAAGTAAGAAAAGAATGGGAGGAGAGAGAATATAAAATTAATAAAATTTAATTTATGTTGGGTTTACTAGGTGAGAGAAATGAATTAAATATTGTAAAAAAAAATTAAATAAGGAAATGAAGCAGGTGTTTAAAAATAGCCGGGAGTGAAAAGTAGAGCAAGTATTTAAAAAATGGAGGGATATAAACTAACACATACATCAATTCTATTTATTTATAAGTGTAGAAGTGTGTAATTCTCCTTAGTTGGAGTATTATCATTAATCAATATATATAGGTGTGTACAACCTAATTATGAGAGGCCTAATTACACAAGATATATTTTACAGAATATTAACAAGATAATATGTAAATCTATTATCTAACACACCCCCGCAGTCGAAGCGGGAGGAGGTCGAACGCTGAGACTGTCTCAGAAATCTAAGAATAGTTGGCGAGGTAAACCTTTTGTGAAAATATATGCGTACTGATAAGAAGACGGAACATGTAATACCTTGATCTCACCAAGGGCGACCTTGTCGCATACAAAATGAATGTCCATCTCAATGTGCTTGATACGTTGGTGTTGTACCGGGTTGCAAGAAAGGTATACGGCAGAAATATTATCACAATAAACAAAGGATGCCCGTCGAATAGGTCAATGTAACTCGAGAAGAAGATTTCGGAGCCAACATAATTCAGAAATAACATTAGAAACACTTCTATATTCTGCTTCGGCACTGGATTTGGACAATGTAACTTGTCGTTTTGCAGACCATGAGACCAGATTATCACCCAAATAAACACAATACCCTGAAGTGGAGCTCCTAGTATCCGGGCAGCCAGCCTAATCGGCGTCTGTGTATGAAGTAAGTCTCGTAGGTGCAGAACGGTACAGATGAAGTCCATGATCAAAAGTGCCCTTAATATATCTGATAATATGCTTAAGAGCGTTGAAATGAGGTTCCCTAGGAGCATGCATAAAAGGAAAAACCTGCTGAACGACATAAGCAATGTTAGGTCTTGTGAAAGTGAGATACTGTAGTGCACCTACAAGGCTCCTGTAGAGAGAGGGATCCTGTATAGGCTCACCATCGTGAGCACTCAGCTTCAACTTAGTGTCGACTGGGGTAACAACCGGCTTGAAATTATCCATCTTAGACCTGTGAATAATCTCCTCAGCATACTTACTCTGACAAAGAATCATGGAATCCTTTGTTCGGGTTACGGAAATTCCTAGAAAAAGTACTCAGCTTCCCTAAGTCAGACATGGAGAATTCGGACTTAAGAAGAGCAATAATGTCACACTTGAGCTGTTATGAGGAAGCTGTAATAACAATGTCATCGACATAAAGTAAGAGATAAGCAACATTAGCACCATGTCGCAAAATAAAGAGAGAATTATCACTCTTACTGCATGAAAAACCAATCTTCAAAAGATAATTAGCAAACCGTTGGTACCAAGCCCGAGGGGCCTGTTTAAGACCATAAAGGGATTTTCGGAGCCGACAAACATAAGTGGGAGCATTGGGGTTTACATACCCTGGTGGTTGATGCATGAATACGGTTTCTTTTAGGTCACCATGAAGAAACGCATTTTTGACATCTAATTTGTTGGCGACTCTTTTGCTCTTAAGACGCCACCATGCTTAAGTGTATGATCACAGTGGGGTTCAAGTTTGGGGTAATGCTTGAAATATTCCCTACATGTCCATAAATCCATATGAATAATGTCAAAAGAGGAAAAAGTAACAGTATGAGATGACTTAAAAGGAAGCCGTAAATGTTTTCCCAATGGACAAGAATAGAAAAAATGAGAACCATTTCTCTTATTACAACGAATAAAATTTTTGTTTCTAAGATTATCAAAACTGATTCGCCGGGGTGTCCAAGTCTATAATGCCAAATAGAAGGAGAAATTAGTGAAAGATGACTAGAGCCATATGGAGCGAAAGAGGATGAAAATGGATAGAGATCCCCCACACTATTGCACCGAGCTAGAGTTGTCCCTGAAAGAAGGTCCTTCACAGAAAAATCAAGAGGGTCAAACTCGACAGAAACAGAATTGTCACAAGCAAATTTTCTAACAGAGATTAAGTTTTTAATAATGTTAGGAACAAATAGGACATTCTTAAGGTGAAAGGGTGGATTAGGTGAGGGGGTAGTAGTTGTGCCATAGCCATAAACAGGAATGCGTTCGCCATCAACAACAAAAATATATTGAGGAAAGCTCAAACTAGAGAGATTAGAAAGAGTACCCGAGTCTCGAGTCATGTGAGAAAAGGCCCCCGTGTCCATGTACCATCCATTATTGGGGGGTTGAAGACTCATTGAGCTATAGGCTTGACCCAACTCAATAGGAGACATAGGCATGTTGTACCCGGACTGACCATCAGCGTAGTAGGCCTGGTTTTGGGTCGGTCGAGGACCCAAAATAGAATTCTGCTGCCCACGGTATGAAAAGGACGGAGCTGGGCCAATGAGAAAGGGGCAAGGAGGTGCGGCCCACTGACCCTACTACTGAAGAGCCCATCCATACGGACTGCCTCACTGAGGGGCCTGCTGGGCTTGATTTGCATTGGGCCTAGAACCTTGATGTTGCTGATTATTGTTGTTGTTGTTACCACGACCTTTCCCACGTCCTTTCCACTTACCATTGCTGCCACGACCCTTCCCCCGCCTCGACCACCGCCGGACTGGATCGGACGCTGGTTGGTGTGGCGTCGGAGATGCGCTGGAGACCGGAGCCGGAGAATGCTGGGCCACGAGAGCATGTTGGCCGGATTCGGATTGCTTATTTTGTTGGGTTTCCTCCAAAATAAACATGGAGTGAGCCTTGTTAAAACTTGGGGTTGGTTCGGACTGAGAAACAATGGCAGCCACCGTGTCATATTCACCCATAGTGAGGCCGGCAATAAGTTGCATAACCATCTTGCGATCGGAGACCGGGCAATCAACATTAGCAAGTTGATCCGCGAGGAGCTTGAATTGCTTACAATAATCAGACATATTTGCAAAATTTTCAAGTTTTGTTTTTGTAAATTGTTCCTCCAAATACACAACCCTAGTATGCTTGTTATCATGAAATATCTCCTTAAGTCGAGTCCATAATTCAAGGGACGTTGCACCCAGTTTCATGATTGTGGTAACTAGGTCTCTAGAAATAGTCCCAAAGATCTAGTTCTTCACTATAGCATCTAAATGTTTCCAAGTAACATCATCAATCTCCTTTGGGCGAGCGATTTTAGCATCAATGTGTCTAAAACATTTAAAGCACATGCTGCGATGTAAGAGAGTTCCACCCAAGTTGCGTATCGAGCATCTTCATGATCGAGACTCACGCAAATATGGTTCTTGATGTTAGGGACGACGAATGCTGGATGGAAAGGGGGTTGTTATGGAGGAGAAGGAGGGGGAGGAGGGGGGGTATCATCACCAGCCATTGGACGGTGGAGGACGGTGAAAAGCGGTGATGATGGAGGGAGACGGCTAAGGATCGAATAGGGTTTAGAAAGGAAAAGAGAGGAAAACCCTAGAGAGGCTCTGATACCATGTAGAAGTGTGTAATTCTCCTTAGTTGGAGATAGTATTATCATTAATCAATATATATAGGTGTGTACAACCTAATTATGAGAGGCCTAATTACACACGATATATTTTACAAATATCAACAAGATAATATATAAATTTATTATCTAACAATAAGCATAATAAAGTTGAAAAAATAACTGACTACTGACACATACATCAATTCCATTTTTATTTTTTTTTGAAACAAATCAATTCCATTTATTTTACTACATACATAAACAATTAAAAACAAAAGAAAATATATTAACGTCCTAGGCAGTATATAGCTTCACTGACTTTAAGAAGTTAGATCAGCCTGAGTTGCAAGCATAAGATCATCAGAAGATTATTAGTCTTCAAACTAAAGATTGAAGTGTATTATGACGTTGACGCACAAGCAAGAGTACTTCTAGATGAGTAACTAACATAAACTATCATTTAGGTCACCTTCAATCAACTTTCGCTATCATGGTTAGTCACTTTAACTAAAATCATTCAACAAGATAAAGTAAGTTAATTGAGTGATGAAAAACCAACTATATGTCTATATGTAGTTCTTTTCTTGAAGAATGTTTTTTTCCCCTCTTACGTATTTACAAAAACTTATTTTTATATAGGTGTTAACTCGTCATATTAATGTATCTTCAATTTATTATGATCTATAGTAGAATGGATTTGTCAAATGTTTTTACAAAAAATTACCATAGATGTGTCATTAGTTTTAGAAGAAAAAAAAAATAATAAAAACACACAGACCCTCAATCTTAAGTTTTTAGCCATTAAACCAAGATCTCACTAAAAATTAAATGTATATTGGCAAATGGTAGCTACACAAGAAAATAAGCAATGGATAAATTGCCTTAAAAGTCCAAATTAAATTGTATTTGGAGGGATGAGGATGGATGAATCTTTAAGTAGGGCACACCTTATTAAAATAACTAATACACTATATTTAGCAACCACAATTAGTAACATTATCATTTTATTAAGGTACAATTAATCATGGAGTAGTTGCTTATTATTAAGAGAACTAGCTAGCTATAGTGAGACAATATCATAGTCCAGCCATTACGTAGGGAACTTCCTAAGGATACTTTGCGATAAGTCAACCATACACAAATAAGCTATACTAATTAACTAAGTTGATCATGATTAACCATTACTTAAATTTATTTATTTAATAACAATAATCATTTGTGTATGTAGTAACGTAATACAAATAATTTAAGTAAAATTTTATAAGATAAAGTTTAGTGTTGAAGTCATGACATGCATCAACGTCTTTCATGTTCCCTTACAAGATGTTGAAAAATCATTAATGTATAGTTCATGCATGTATATGTAGCCGGCCATTCAAGATATCGAAATAACATATACAGTAATTTATAACCCTCAATCTAGAAAGAATGGGCAAGTGATTTTTGGAGTATTATAAGATATCTGTTGTATAATGTCACATGCCTGTTGAGATTTTGGGATGAAAGTTTAGTTTACGGTTTGAATTATAGCCAAAACCAAATTCAATCTGAATTTGACAAATTAGGGAGAAGAAATAGAATTGAATGGCTTGATTATTATTCATCAATACGTTGAGTATTTATACAAAACCTACGAACATAAGATAGGAAACAATATTCCTAAAAGATATACCATATAACCTAATGATATATTCTCTAAATAATATCTTAACATAAGATAATACTAAATATATTATTCTCATAATAATATCTATACGGAAAATATATCACATATATTTTCCGATATATCATATCTCTTTCCGATAAATCATATCTCTAACAGAATTAATTCAATTTTGGATTTCTCAAATTGAATCCAAACCGAATTAAGATTCTGTCCAATCCAAACCAATCCGAATTAATTCAATTTTCTAATTAAAATCCAATCCAAATCGAAATTTCTTCCCTTCTTTCGTAACATTCAAACCTGAAACCCAAACTTCACCTAGAAAATTCCTACAATCATTCAACCTTTTCTTGTTAAATACGAAGTACATTCTTTACGAGAGAGTGAAATACTGAGAAAGGAGAATTGAGAATTAGGTTTTTTTTTTATTATTTATTATTTATTAATTATATATTATATATATTATATATATTATATTATATATATATATATATATATATATATATATATATATATATGAAAGGGGAAAGGGGTTTGAATACTTTGTACAAGAAAATGGGCTTAATGTAAAGGATTAAAATTTTGATTTGTAATTCGGTTTTTGGTGTTTTTAACCCCCAAACCGAATCCAAACTGTAATCCATTTTTTTTATTTTTCCAAATCGATCCAATTCAAAACTGAATTATTAATTTGGTTTGGTTTTCGATTTGATTTGGTTTTAATCCGAATAATTACTTTCACCCCTACAGATTTTAAATATATATCTTAAAATACAAAAACAATTGAACACATGAAGTGATTTAGGTGTATTAGTGAAATTATTATAGATGGTTAGTTTCAACGACTAATTTATTAATATCATACATATATATTAAATACTATTATACCTCCGGTTCGTACTATATGCAACTTTGGAATTTTTTATATCATTTTTTATATCTTACAAATAATACATCATAGTTGCCTATAATAGAAACCGGAGGTAGTATATTACAAATATCCATATGGATATATGACAAACAAAACATAAATAAATTTTAAAAATCATGATGGTTGTGAAAAATAGTATAATTTATCAGTAGCCAATCCATAATCTTTCAAGCTTAATTAGTAATCTAATTAACATGTTATACTAGTACATGAAATTTAAGTTCAATAATATGAATTGCTAACTACAACTCAATAGAGTTATTAAACAATTTCATTGTTGGTAAACATCATAACTAATATACGTAATACCTTTTTAGGCCCGAATCTCTTCACCTTATCTCTGTTGAACTAAAATTATTTTTACTAAATTATTATTATATTTGTTGAAATGAACTTCATTATACTATTTCTCTATTATATTTGTTGTTTAAAGTTCCTGATCTTGATTTTTACTAGACATACACTTATTGGTACCGAAATGATTTTTTTTTTTTTTTTTTTTTTTTTTTTTTTTTTTTTTTTTTTGAATATGAAGATGGAGAGAAAAGGGCTTTAGTGGTTAATAATTCTCAGCAAATCACTAAAAAAAAATATCTATCAACCTTGCTACCTCCCCTTTTTATTTGAAATGCACTATAATACAATCATCATAGATTTTACTTGCAAGCACAAAAAATAGATTTTAATGTCAACTAATGACGTAAAATAATGATGTTATTGTCAAATTGTTTTAGTATATACTTGACAAATACGTACAAGTAGAGTGTATCCCTCTGTTATACAGTAGTGATGAAAGCATAAGATCAAGTGATCGGTGCAATATGAATAAGTGACATTCTAATTTAATTATTTTTATTGTAAGTTGTACGTAATCATTTAACTTGTAAAATTATTATACCTGTTTTTTGATTACTTTGAACTAGTTGAGCGGATATACTGTTTGGGAAACCTAACTCTTCTCAAAGGTCCATCTTTATATCATTTTATAATCAGAAAGTTGATAAACAAAAAATTAAATACGGAACATGTACTTTCAATTCAAAGTTGGCTCAGCATTATTTACTCAGTAATTTATCTCTTTTATTAATTTATTTATTTACTAAAGGATCAAATAATGCTCATGTATGTCTCAAAAAAAAAGAGGAGTGAGGGGATGGAGGGAACGTTGGTCCCTCCATCTCCTCCCCATGTGACGGGGGTTCGACTCCTCACAATCCCATTCCTGTGATAGGATGGGACCCCCTTCCCGTAGTTTACCGGTCAAAAAAAAAAAATATGTCTCAAACAAAAAAAGTAATGTTCTTGTACTCCGTGATGCCGTTACGAGTAGAGCTGTCAAAAGTTAACCCGACCAAAAATACCGACCCTAACCCGATCTATTAACCGACCCGTCTGAAACCCAAAAAAAAAATGGTGACCTAAACCCGATCTAACCCGACCTGAAACCAACCCTAGACCCGAGTTGACCCGAATATTTGAGACTAGAACCCGAACATTAACCGACCTAGAGACGACCCGACCCGAATGTAACCCGTAAATTATTGACCTCAACCGAACTCGACATGAACCGAAATTGACCCAAACCCGTTTTAACCCATCAAAACCCGAATTCAACCCGACCTGTTTCTAACCCAACCCGAATTCAGCCCGACCTGTTCATAACCCGACCCGAATTTAACCCGACCTGCTACAAACCAGACTCGAATTTCAACTCGATCTGTTACAAACCCGACCCGAATCGATCCGACTTGTTATTGACCCGACCTAAATTCAACCCGACTTGTTATTGAATCAATATGTATAGGTCGTATCTCATGTTGGTATTGGAACGAAAATTGAATCCTAACTCTATTCCTTCAATATTATACTTTGAATTTTAAGAGGTTAGTTTCACAACATGTTTTTAGGGACGAATTTCAAGGACGAAACATGTTTTTCGCAAATTATTGACTAGAACCGAACCTGACTCGAACCCGAGAATGACCCGACTTGA